CTTCATAGTGACTCTGCTTCACATGTAGTCAGTCTTACCTGCATGCATGCAGCGACAGCAATTTACAGAAAAATTATTATTAAGGGCTGTATAGTATTAAAGGCAGCAATGGCTGCAAAAGTAACTAGTAAAAATGAGATGTACTTAGAGATATATAATTCTGTAGCTCTTAGTCAAATCTTATTTCAGATTCTGTTTTTTTCTCATTTCCACTTAACTATGATTTTGGATTGTATCCCTCTCAATCTGTATTTCATTATTACCACAGCATATCTGGACTTCTTTGAATGGCTGTAATTGGCATCCTTGCTGGCAGTCTCAACAAAGAGGCCAAAGACTGAATGTGCATGGAGACAGAATTGTCACCTTCTTTGAAACTGTCCTTAAACATGGTGGAGACTTGCTGGAGAAGGAGGGTCTGTGACCGCTGGTGATACCAAAATGCTACCTGAAAGCAGAATGGACCTCTCTCTACTAGCAGACTACCTTCCAGCCAGCAGCCAAGCTCCATCCCATTGGCCCTGGCACACAGAACTTTGCAGGACCAGAGCATAGACGAACTGTGGACTTCGCCCTTAGTGGCCTGTGAATCTTGTCATTTTTAAAAATTGTAAAACGCCAGCATACAATTAAAATATAAATATCCAAATACCTGCTACTTTCAGCTTCTGCTTCAGCATAAATTGGATGAAGTCCCATTCATATTGAAATGTAAATGCAAAACATAAATTTAAAATGTTAAAAAAAAAGGATGGCTTGGAAAAAGATAACGCTTTCCCTCTGTGTAGAAGATAATGATACAATATTCAAGTTTTCCACTCTAAAGGTAATATTTTTTGTCTAAGTCAACATACTTTACCATTTTTAAACTTTTCTCATCATATTTTTGACAGCAGGTTTTCCAATTTTGACAGCTTTTAAAAAGTAATTTTAACAGACGAGTGATTTCTCCTCTCAGCAAAGTCAGATTATGTGAAATGTCAATGTAAAAACTATATACTGTGACACATAATCATTTTTTCATTGAATTTACTTATTAATTTACTTGCTATTGCTAATAAAATGTAAGTGCTTAGCTAATTGTATTGCTTATTTAAATTTTTTGAAGGAATGTATTTGAAAATTGCACTTTTTTCCCGACTGAAAAATTTCTGAGGCATCTATAATTTGTCACCCTTCCAAATTATTTAAAGAAGAAGAATTACTATCACAATTTATATTCCCAGCTGAGTGGCCAAAGAATGAATCAGCAGGGAGAGGTTAAACCAGTCTTTCATCTGTAAGGGTGGGCTACTTGATTTAAAGTTTGGAGCATATCTACAGAATTTTACAGGGAATTTCTTTTAGAAATTCTGCATGTAGTCCATAGAAATATGAAGATTATTGGTATCTATGCTATCAGTTTTGTGCCTTCAGTAAGACTAAACTCAACAAAGATGGAAAATCAAAAAGGGAATGTACAGTTCAAAGTCTGCACTTCTATATCAAACTCAGTTCAAGTGAGGCATAAATGAGTTGGACCAATTCCTACCTCTGATTACAGTTCTACATCAGAGTTTTTTTATCTTTAAGCAATTAGTTTTATTTGTAATTTTCTACACCAGAAATCCAAAGGTATTGTCTATTTCTACTCTGTAAGTCTAAAAAGGTCAAAAAAATCACATTCTCAAGATCAGTACCATAGGTACTATAGGTAGAGTGTGTCTTCAAAGCCTTTGGGGTGTAAGACAAATCATGGGTTCACTGCACTTTCACACACCTGTACCAAAAACTGGAAGGCAATCCCAGCATAAATCACTTTCTTCATTTGTCTCACTTCATCCAGGAAAATACTTCAGTGACTAGGAGAAAGTACATAGATGAGAGCAAATTTATAAGAAATAAAGATTTTCTCTCTTTATTAACCTTAAACCATCAACTGATCTTATGAAATGAGGATTATGTCTCACAGGAAGAAAAAGGCTCAGTGTCACTCCCTGTATTTAAAGTATTTCTATATCAGCTCAAATTAAGTGTCATTACAATCTATTTCATATTCAATTTTGATCCATCTACTTCATATGTCACTGGGCCAAAAGTATGCTTGTGTTTGAAACTGCTGACAAACTTACCATGATGTAGGCTGCTCCTTCACAGCATTAATATAAAACAGTTCTAAATTGAGCAATGTTCAATTATCCTGAAAGTACAGATGACTTAGTTCTTCGTTAACTTCATTGTTTTCCAGTAAAAGTGAAATGTGCTGTATGCAAATTAAATAATACCAAGTGTCAGCACTTAAAAGAAATGCTCATTTAGCTTCAGAAGAGGTTTTTGTTGCAAATTTTGTTCATTTATTTTATAAGAAATTGTGTTTGTCTTAATTTGTTCCAAACACAATATGATTGTGAGACACAGTGCCTGCTGGCAAAGTTGGAATTGCTGTCAGCAGGAAATGGCAAACTAATAATAAATGATGGTAAAATATTTATGTTATACTTTACTGGGAAAATGAATGCCGTTTTCTATTTCATTCCTGCTTGAGACGGTACACAATAACATAGTTGTTTTCAAAATAAGTAGATAGGATTCTAAACTCGGTGGTGGCTTATCTTGTAACCATCAGCTGAAAAAAAAATTATAAAAATAGACCCTTTTAGTAGCTCCAATTTAAGAAATTTTAACTGGGAGTACATAGTGCAGTAATTAGTAGCATCTCACATTCAATGTCATCGGACACTAGTCCGATAGATCAAACACTTGTGTATGTGGCCTACTTACTCAGTTGCTCACTCATAATTTTCAATAACACTGCTGTTCTCATGCAGGGAGGGGTGGTCCAGAGCCACTAGATTACTCTGCAGGATGGTGATGTTCAAGTACAACACCGTGTTTATGTACTCCCCAAAGTGTATCAAAGCTCAGATCCACAGAAATAAAAGAAAAGTCAAACAAAACAAGCATTAGACTGCGTAAAATAAGGTATGGACAACGCAAACAGGTGAGGCATTGTTTAGGTGGCTAAGGTAGATCAATATCTGTGCTTGCAAGCCAGGAATTCTGCCTGCTTTCCTCTGGCACTCTGCAGATCATCTTACGGCCTGCAGACAGACTGTCGCCTAAACCCAATTGACAGACAACCTATTTCACCCTTGCAAAAATCATACCCATCTTCATTCTTGCAGCCCATGAGGGATAAATAAAAGCCCCCATGCCCATGGAACACTGAAGACTAGGCATAAGCATCATTTCAGCTAACTTCTTACTATTCTATCACAGCAATTACTTGATGGAAGCAGCTGAGCTTTCTTTTTCTTCAGTTACCAACAGCAAGTCCACACATTTTGCCTAGGCTGGCTTATGAAAGCACACTGCAGTAGTCTTTCAGGATTTGAAAAATATTCATATGACAGGTGGATACTGTTGCCTCCTTCTCTTCATATATTCCATTAATTATCAGAGATGTTTTCTGATTTCACAGGTAGACATCAAGAAGCTCTGCCTGCTCATAATGATAGCAGAGATCACTTAAGATGTTTTTCCCTTGAAAAACGTGTTTTCATTTTTTAAAAAAATAACATATGGTCAATTTAAAGAACTACTGAACCCCTTCAATAAAATTCTGGAAACCATGAAATGCTTCATTTCCAGCACCAGATCTTCCAATGGGAAAACCAGCCTGCACGGGTGGATAATCTGCAATTTATGCCAGCTTCAGTACTGGAAAGACAACTCTTGCAGCCTGTATCTTTTAGGTCTTAGACACACAGTATCATAATTTGAGATTGGGAAAGCAAGTGAAGATAAGCAGACCTTTTTAAACTCTTACAAAAAACTTAATTCTTGCTTTGGTACATGTTGGTACAGACACTCTTCAGGTGCATTCTGTTCACTTTTTAAATTTAAAATCTCACACTTTTTCTCTCATCTCTGAACTAATTAGCTATTAAAATATAGCTACCATTTCAAAATAATGTCTATTTCCTTATTTGAAGGAGGTAAAATGTTCAGCTTTAATCCCCAGAGTGGAAAAGGTCACCTTTGTAGACTGATGACTATCATATCCCCAAGTAATGAGAACAAGTGTGCTTTTCCTCAATGCAACAACCGTAGTTACTCTTATATTGCAACTATTTTCCTGCCTTACCTTTCTTTATGGTAGAGGAAATGTAATTTACTTGTCAGATTGAAATGTTTGATATAAATCTTTAGCCTTTCTTTCAAACAAGTATTTCTGTAGCATTATATTACAAACAACTGGCATGTTTAATTAAACAACTGCTTTATTTTCAGCAGCAGAAGAAGGTATGATTATATTAATTGAATAGTAGGACCTATGACCAAATTTAAAGAAAACATTTTCAGCTCAACAAGGAGGTATGATTATCTTAATCTCAAAGCAAGACATGTGACTAGAACTGAAACAAAATGTTTTTCTCTGTCTTTGCAGTTATTAAAAAATAGTTTCATTGAAAAACAAAGTGAATAAATGCAATTTTAAAAGTATTTTTCCATAAAAACTCTTTTTTCAAATCAAGAGCTGGCTAAAAAAAATTTAAATCATTTAAATTAAAGTCCTAGAACAACTGATTTCTGTGATGAAGTGTGTTTTAAATGAACCAGGTTTAACATATTTGCTAGTACTTCTGAATTAAAATACTATGTTTCTACAAATGCACAATAGCAAATTTGCTGTATATTTATAAGTTAAATCTTGTAGCTAGACACAGAAGCAATGCTTAAGCTCACATGGCTTGTTCATATAAGAAGTCCATTTAGTATAAGTGATTTTACCAGCATGAGTAAGGAGCAAATTTTCACATATCTTGAACAAAAAAACATTGGTTTTGAAGTTTCAGTAATATCAACATTTCTGCTGGGTTTTATCCTGTTGTCTCAAAAATAGTTTCTGTTATTTCATACACAAATACAATTTAAAAATTAAGTTATGATGATTTCTTATAAAGAGAAAAATAAGTTACAAAGTGTTAATAGGAAAAGGGATGAGACACAAAAAGTAATTTCTTTTCAAATCATCTTTTATTTGTTTGAAACAGAGAAAAGCAAGACATACATCATTTAAATGCTTACGACCAAATGAAATTATCAGTGACAATTGAGAAATTATTAAAAGAAACTTATATATTGAATTACAATCCTAATTACCCAGATATGCTTTATTTAGGTAAATAGACTAAATATTTTTATATGCTTATTTAGGTAAATAGATGAAAGATTTTTGATCCAGATGTGACAAATTCCATGCTGTCATTTACCTTGAAGAGATCATAGAATTTTTGCTTTTATCACATTCCCCAGAGTGCTTTCATGTTTTCATTAAAAAACCGTAGTTGAGAAAACATGTCAGATGCTAAGCACAAAATCCACAATGAAGCAACATGGAAAAAATGTAACAACTTTTTGGAAAAAACGTCTTTATGTCAACCTACATACAATCTTAAATGGTTTGTCAATGAATGTTAATTAGCTTTAAATTTACACCATGACATGACTTCATGCACTAAAGAAAATACTTGCTTATTTGGCTGGTGCATGACCAAAGAACAAAAATTAACAGATATAGTTTTGACAAATAACTATTTCTAAACTTGTATTGGTATTTGAGATGGATTATAATAACTGGAGATTAAGCCAAATATTAAGTAATGTCCACTGGCAAGTTGTGATCATTAACGATGTGACTTTTTCTGAACTACTAACTTAAAATAAAGCTTATGCTGAAGTGCAAAAACGTCACAGTCTGAGACTGGAGTATTTCTCTCCTTTTACAAAATCTTTGTATTTTATTCCTGCTGTAGCAAACATTTATATAAAAGTTTGTAGGATGCTCATTAAGAATATTTCCAGTCACAATTAAGTTGAACAGTAACGTTGTTCAAGTAACCCAAAAACTTCAATAAACATCAAGAGTATTATGTTTCTTTGTCAAATGTGGGCAGTAGATTAGCTACTTCTGATTTATTTACATTTATACAAGCAAGTGCAATATAAAAGGACAAGTCTTCTCACCCTCTCACACAGAAATTGCTGAGATGTACATGGAATTATTCATGAAGAAAATTAATGAAGTTTAGTACAAGATTTTGAATTGTTAATTTACTTGGGAGGAAAAATGTATATGGATTAACAAAGTTTTTCATTTTCCTGATAATACATGATTTTCTTAGAGTCTTCCATGACATATCAAGATTCATCATTCTACAAAGGATATAAAGAAATCAAAAGCAACTATTCACATCTGCTAATGTCTGCTCTGAAGTTTTTTGAAGAGAAAGGCAAGCAGACTTTATTATTGTGTTTCTATACAGATCTGAGGAGATAATCAGGATTAAACAGATAAATGAAAACAACTGGCTTGGAGGGAATTGAAAAGACAACAAAACTTACAGCCAGACTCTTCATGGTAGACTTGTGATATTTCACTGCAATGTGTCTTTCTAGTTAGAAATTTCTTCCATTAAATCTATAAAATGCCTGCTGATTCAAGCAATACTTTTAACTAATGACTCTACTTCTACTGCCATAATATCCATCCCTTTACTTCACCTCTCCTCTTTATTTCAACACAAATAACCCAATATATGTCATTCTAAATGTTAGTTTGCATCTCAGCAAATGTCATTTCCAAGAAATATGACAATTCTGTATCTGTTGCAACCTGTACTCTAAAATCCAATAACTTTGTTCTATGAAAATAGATGTAGATAATGAAGATGGACATAATATCTGGTAATCTGCAGCACTCATAAATCTGACAACTCCACTTTTCAAATCCCTGTGCTGATTCATCCTGTGTCTGAAGACCAAGCAGGCAAATTGTTGTGTAAAAGTAAAATGCCTTCTTAACCCTCCTAAATACTGAATGGCTGTGGAATTGGATCTTTGGAATAACATTATAACTTCAGCTTTTATCCTGGACTTAATGATCATTTTTCTGCTTGGGTTCTAATGTTTTATGCTATCCTTTAGAAATATTGATGTCTAAAACAAAATCTGATCATTCTGAAATTACAAAAATTGCATATAAGGAATGTTTCTTTAATTCAAGATTCCATTCATATTAGTAGAGCATGCTCTCCTAAAAGTACAGATTGACTTTGGTTTCTAAATGTGAAGAGGGTAAGATGCTTTCTACTGGAATATATTAGGGTTCCTTGTAACAGGCCAGTATTTCCATTTACTTAACAGACTTTCATTGCCAAAAAAATGGCTTATTTTAGAAAGGCAGGATTTCCAAATAATTTATTACTCATGAATTAGTCATTTTCTGTGTCCCACATTTACAGCTAAGCAAATGGAAAACTAACTGTAAACATGTTGCACTGATTTCTGACTATAATGCTGTTCATAGCAATCCTGTGGCCAATAAACAATCCTACTGGCCATAATAAAATCTAGTCCAAGCTAGATTCTGAGCTCTGACAAACAATTACCAAAGCAGGACTAGAAGAAAAAAATGCATTCTTTTTCTGAAAGAGAGTGCTAACATTAAGCTTAGCTATAGCAAAACCAAAAAACCATAATAAATAGCTAATGAAGGAAAAGCATCAATGTGAACTGTGAAAGAATTCTACCCTAGCAAACTTCAATAACAGCATTTAGATATAGACACTGAGGTGACCATAACAGGGTGCACTGGAAACATCCCCACCTCCCTGTGAGGTCCAAACCTATCTTACAGTGAGGTACTTGGGTAGAGAGTTGTTGGCATAACTCACGTCTACCCAAATTATTTGGTCTGAAGAATCTTTGGAAAAAATAACATATAAATATTAATTCAAATTTGAATATGAATATCAGTTTGAGTAGAATTATAACTGGTTATACTTTATTTGACTTTTTTTCTCATCTAAATATATCTTTCCATGAAGCCAAAATGTTCCATAAAAATGTATCAGATTTAATGATGTTTACAATGGGAATGTTCTAAATATCCTGGCTTGTCAATTTAGTAATTTCCTAATGAGAGAGTAAAACAAAGGATTGGAAATAGAAATACACAAACAAACAAAAAAAATATTTGGTTCCAAAATAGTTGTATGCAATTTTATTACATACATAAAAGTGTTCTAAAGAGTTTTATTTTCAGTGTGAAACAAAAAGACATCTCAAACCATACATATTTTTACAGATTGGGAAATAACACATTGCCTTTAGGTTTACTCAAGGTGTGACATTTTCTGTTTGCTTCCTGAAAACAATGCAATTGTTCTGTAATAAGGAATACTTAAAAAAATATTTTTCAGCTTGAATTCATTTGTAGTTCTAAAAGCAAGTTTTGGTTGACTGTAACTTTTATATCTACAATTTTTTCATATATTATGTTGACCTACATAAATCAGCTCTTCAGTGAAAAGAAGCAGTAATTACAAACATAGCAAACCAGTACCATATTTACAGATGACACTCCAGATTATATTCATTTGCTTTGTGAATAATGTCAGTTATTCTGAATGTATTTGTATGACATATCAGTTGTATTGCCTGCAAACATATTTTAACTTCAGAGTAAAATGTAAATTCTGAATTTTCTACTGCTGGATGAGAAGATGGGACTGAAAAGATCCATAAGGCTGCCCTATAGCCACAGTTTGTCATTAAATAGATGCAACACTTATACAAAATTGCCTTGGTCAACCCAAGATTCCTGAAATTCAGGACATTGTGCTTGCTCTTCCTACCTCCAAGGAATCAAGTGTGAGTGGATGTATACTCTGTGTCCATGGTTCTTAAAAAACAAACAAAAAAACAAATAATCGCTTTCTCAATCATGGTATTAACTTAATTTGGGATTTAGTTAAAAGCTAGAATTAAGGTGTACCAGAGGATGAGAAAAAATTTCACAGGTTCTTGAAATTATAATTGCAATATATTGAATAAAACTGCCAGTTAATCCATAGAACATAGTAATATTATTCATTACAAAAGGAGATGAAAATAACCTCTCAGTGGTTCTTCTAATCAGATCTGGGGAAAATAATCTTCCTAGTTGAAATTTGGCAACTCGTTTTACCTCAAAGCCATGATCATGACATATTAACTTTGGAAAATTAACCGATACTCTGCTCAGATTTTCAGCTGAGGCAAGCTGGCATAATGTAGACCTATCTATTCTGAAAATAGGAGCACAAATTCACATAGGCTACTTAATGAATTAAAAAAATGTATATTACAAATTGTCAAAACTCACAACAAACAGGAGGGTCTATAGATTGAGGATTACTCGCTGAAGTGATTTATAAATAATTTTAAAGTGTAACAGTAGTAAAGAATTTTGTAGCCTGTTTGCAAACAATTGGAGAACAGAAAAAAAACCAAAATTTGACCAATTATTCATTCTGTGTCAATCAATTCACTTTAGCTGTCACTATACTAGAGACATTTTATATAAGCTTTTCAAACTGCACTGATAAAAGGCATGCACAGGGCAAAAGAATAATGGAAGGCTTTTTGTTTTCCCTATAATTTCTTTTTTTTTTTTTTCCCTCTCACAATCATTTAGAAATCCTTTGGGTCGCCCACTTTGTTTACAAGGTGATATATGTCTCACCTATAAAATATCTGTGAAGCACAGTATCTGTTAAATTTTAGCCAAAAATCACTTCCTTTCAAAATTAAAATAGCTTATAAAAACAACAATTTGTGAAAGGACCTATAAGATTTTACTGCTGTTCTGTCACATACTTTAGAATTATTTTTTGAAAAAAAACCTCAGTATTTTCAAATAGTTTTTATCCAATTACAAATGGCTATGAAATCTAGGAATAAAACAGTATTGGTAATATTTATATTTCTACAGAAAGGAAAGATAATATCCAGGACTGGCTTTTAAAACTATTAATGAGCACTGGCAATGCGAAAAAGAGATGGATTAGGTAGATGTAATGAGATATGATTAAAGGGTGTAGGCACTGAAGGGTGTTGGAGAAATTCTTTTCAGAGGGAGTATAATTAGTGTCTGATAAAAGTACTTAGTAGATAAGATTTTTGAAGAAGAAAGGTTAAGATAAACACATACCATATGACAAACCTGTTTAATTTTTTTCCTTTCTTGTATAGTCAATAAACTGTTGAAGTTTTATACATAAATAACATTTGTTGAATACCTGATGAAACCCCACAAAACAACTAAAAGGGTTTTAATTGCAAAAGACAGAAAGCAAAGAAAATTTTCTATTACATTTCCTTTTTTGCTTTTCTCTTTTTATTTATACAACTTAGACAATAACATACAACCTTTTCCTGAAATTAAGCAAATAAATGGACTTCTTAAAAAGCAAGATTCTATAAGTTGCTTAGCAACTTTCAAAACATTTTTTATTAAATTGGAAGCTTCTTGTCTTAGTTTAATGTCTAAAAAATGCAGCAGCCTAAAGCAGACCATTCCAGCCACCTTTATACAAGTCCTGGAAAAATGCTTCTCTGTCCATTTAGCCAATACTATTGTGCACACTTGAAAATAACTCTTAGAATGAGATGCCAGGCCTTTGGTTTTCTACTTTTAGGTGTGAATCTTTAACCTACAACTGGAGTTTGGATTTGGAATGACAAATCTCAGTACAGTTAGAGCACTCATAGATTAATTGCAGATAAATATATTAGATACTTACATATCCAGAAGAGAAGTTCACCAAGTGAAACATGAAAACCTAAAATAAAAACAAATGTCCTGCACATCTGGGGATTCCTCAATAAAGGAGAGCTACCATGTCATGATCTCTGGTCCCTATTTACAAGACCAGCAATGGTGAATTCCCCTTTGTTGCCTTGTTTTTAAGATGCACTATCTTTTCTACAGTAATTCATTGCAACAGAAAAGTGTTTAGTACTTTACAGACTCATAGAATAGTTTGGGTTTGAAGAGGTCCTAATCTCATTCAGTCTGAAGCCATTTCCCCTTGTCCTGTCACTACATGCTTGTATAAAACTCCCCCTCCAGTTTTCTTGTAGGCTCCCTTCAGGTACTGGAAGGCTGCAATTCTGTCACCCTGAACCCTTCTCTTTTCCAGGCTGAATAAAACAAATTCTATCAGCCTTTCTTCATAGGAGAGGTGCTCCATCCCTCTAATCATCTTTATCATCTTGCTGGTGCTCCTGTGAACCTGCTCCTGAAGGCTGATGTCTTTCCTGGACTGGGGACCCCAGAGATGGATGTAGTACTCAAGGTGAGGTCTCACCAAAGCAGGGTAGAGGATCAGTATCACCTTCCTCAACCTTCTCATTCTGCTTTAGAAGATTTGAAATGGTTGGCTTTCTAGGCTGCAACCTTCTGCAGCATTCTGGATGTAAAGTATTTCAATTGTCCTTTCCTAATTATGCATTCATGAAGAAAAGCATTGGTTAAACTCAACATTGGAAACTCTAACCTGACACAGGCTTTTGAAATAACTCTGAAAGCTAATTCAGGCCCATGTTCCAAGAGAACTGTCCTCAACATGGCTGCTTCTTCACACTCAGTCCCAGAGCAGAGGAACTTCACTTTGCAATAGCAGTGCAGAAAAGCAAAACTGCAAGCCTGAGATCAGGCTGGGCATGGAGCCCACATGCTGATAGCACTGCCTTAACTTCAGTGCAGAAGAGTAAATCAGGATCTTCCTCATCCTCAAAAAAGTATATCTCTTAAAGTACTGCCACACATCAGGAGCAGATTTTCTTCCTCTTTTTGTGTGCTGGAGTGTCATATTTTCTTACATCAGACTTCCTGTCTGCATGCAGAAATCGTGTCTCTACATGGCATGGAGGGTGGTCCCACTTAGGGGAAAATACACAGTTATGCAGAACAGTCTCTAAATCATGGGCCAGGTTATTTAAGTGTACTTCTTAATCAGTACATAAACCAGTTCCCACTGGGCACATAATCTGCCCAGAGAATATCTGAAACTCCTATAAGGTGCTGAGTTCAAGCATCTTGCAAAAACTGCCCCAGAACACTTGCTGTTATCCATGAGCAAGTAACCAAAACAAATAATAGAGTTGGAGGAAAGTTCCCATCCCTAATAAATAAAATCCAAATACATACATCCAGATTGGTGGATTATTTTCATGAAGATTGGTATGAGCAAAGGGAGCAGTGCTTTTAATGATATTTCAATACTAGATCAACAAAAGAAAGAGAACAGATCTTTTTGTCTCATGACTTCAGTAATTTTTGCAGTTCATACCAGTTCATTACTAATTATTTAATTAATTGTGAGATTTTTAGCTCCTCTAAACTTCAAGCAGGTTTTCAATAGCAGTGAACGATTTCTAGGTGCCAGAAGGAAGTTTCAAAGTCACTCCTGATCAATAGACCTAAAGGAAGATTGAAAAACTCCTTTTCTTGGCAGTACTCTGTTATTTCTGAAGTGTAATGATAACACTGTAAATCAACATTGTTCAGCATCGTCAACATTGGTTTTGATGCTTCTTTTTTGGCTCCAGCTCCATCAAAAAAACTGAAATATTTGATTTTTTAAATGAGCATACCAAGGTAGTATATAACTTGGCTTATGTTTTTGTGAAAGTATCAATTCTAAAAATTTACAGAAGAAAGATCTACAGAAGAAGTTAATCTATTTCCTTTCAATGAAAGGACATTGCTCAGATTGCATTAATCTCGAGGGAGGGGGTGAGTTGCAGACCTGGCATTGAATTATTAGATCCATGGGGCTTCCAACATTTATGTAAATAATCTCAAAAATATTTTCCACCTGTTTCCATCAATTAGGAACATTTCAAGTACATTTAAACCTTTTTTTTTTTTTTTTTTGCAACTTTTCATTGTTTGTCTGTTTCTTCCAGTGATACTTCAGGGTCACCAGGCAAGGAGGCCAAGATTCGATGGATTCCAGCAGAACAGGAGTGTAAATGGAAGTGTCAGGAATTCTATTGTGTTGTAGGAAGAGAGAGATAGGGGTGGTTCTTCTAAGTGAATAAAATGCTAGGTCTCACACATGCTTACTTGTACACACCTGCTTACACAAGTCCTGATACCCAAGATTCCTCCTGTAAACCAACAGCACTATTTCATAGTTTCAGTGGGGATCATGGTGGAATTTTGCAGAGAAAGTCTGGATCATCTTAGGATCCACGTGAAAACAAGGCAGCGAGCACTTTTCTGCTTTGCTTGAAGGGGCACATGTCAAAAAACTCTTAGAGACATTAACAAAGATTGGTTCATGTGTTGCAAAACAGACTGATCAGACACCCAAAGACCTACACTACTTTCTCTTGTCACCTTTCTGGGTACTGCAAGCTGTGGTCTGTGCCATTTTTGAGGTAAGAACCATGTAGGCTGGAAATCAGTAGTGCCATTCTGGTCTGCAAAACACTTCTGCTTGCTTTCTTTCACTGCTGTTAGACTTTCTTTCTTCTTCCTTCTATTTTTTTTTCCCTTGATAAAGTCTTAATGTTGCTGTTGCTGATGCTGATGTTCTGCTTGAATCAGGAACCAAAAACATGTGACTTTACTAGCTCTCCCCTCTTTTTGCAGTTTCTGCACTGCTTAGAGTGATGGCACAGAGTCCAAAGTCACAACTCTGGGCTTTCCATAGATGGATCTTGAAGATGCAATGCAAACTCACCATGAAGAGAAAAAAAAAAAAAAGGATTTCGCCTGTAGTTACACTGAACTTTTCACTGAGTTCATTTGAGCTGACAGGAACAGGATGCTATGTTTGAGTGACAGCATTTACCCTAAATGGAAGTCAGTGTAGAGGAGAGGAGCAAGAGAAACATTATGAAAATCTTTACTAAAGATGAGAAAAGATATCCTGTTTGAAAATAAGACTGTGGAATAAGCCCTGCTGGTCATAAATATTTTAGATGTTCCTGTTCCTGCAGAAAACTGAAACCTATAATTGATTCAATTTTTTAACCACAAAAATTAGAACTGATATTTTCTGCTGCTTGTCTGTGTGTGGTTTGATGTTCCCTACAATTGTACTTCACTGATTCATTATTTTCTTTAAATGTTAACATAAGAAGGCTCTGTTTTACTGCATTCTCACTTGCTTTGGGATTTGTTTTGTGCTTGGTTTTTTCTTTGGGATTTAGGGGGTGGGTTTTGGGGTTTGGATTTTTTTCCAATTACAATCAAATGGGAACTACTTCTAGGTGAAGTAGGGTTATCCTCCTCCCATCTCCCCAAAATAAAATGTTGCTCTTCAGAGTATCACTCTCCTTTAAGTCTGTGCAATCTCTTGAAGATTAGGGACAAGTATGCAGGAAGAAAGTTGTCAGGGTTTAGATCAAAGTTGGGGATTGGTGAGGGACAGGGGAGGGGGGAGAAAAATAAATCACTAAGCAGATCTCAGAGACTGCAAGGCCTCAAGCGCCTTCTCTTTTAGGGTAATGTGTACCTTTTTCCCACTACTTGCAAGGAGTTGAAATAACTATTTGAAAAATAAGGAAAATTGTTATTCCCATAAGGTCTAAGAAATATGAGCTGAAGCTTTAGGAAAATATTGGTCCTTTTTCACGTCTCAGACGATCAGAAAATTCTTTGCATTTTCTGTTTCAGAAAACCCTAAATATAATAGATAGTTCCTTTCAGAAATTGCCAGTAACACCCTACCCTATTCATCCCAGGTTTTCAGAGCTCACAGTAGTGGCTGGATAGATGAGGCCATCACGAGCCAGAGACATCATCAGCGCAGAACACTCTGCTATTTATTTAGACTCTGAAAAAGAGCCTTCTTGCTTATTTTCCTAAAATAATTAAAATGCATCACTTAAGTTCCGATTTGCTAAAAAAAAAAAAAAAAAAAAAAAGGCGTGGGAGCATAAATGTTTTGGCTCTGAGATGACAGTAAATATATCTTCGCATCATGTTTTTATTTTACCGTTTCCAATGCATCCTTCCTAGCCCTAGCCCCTTCCCCTCCCCCACTAATTTCTGAAGTGTCTGAAAGAGCCCTGGAGCTCACAGCATTCTCTCTCTCCCCTCTTTACGGCGGGAGATCAGATGTATTACCTTCCCCTTTCGCACGGCCGGTGACGGGATGCAGGAACGGCTCCAGCCGGGTGCTGGGCCCCGCGGCCGGCGCACGGAGCGCGGCGAGGGGCCCCGCTGAGCCGGGCGAGCCCGGGCGGGGCAGCGGCGCCCGGCCCCGCTGCCGGCCGGAGCTCGGGGCCGCCCGCGGCAGCGGAGCCCGCCGAGCCCGAGATCGGGCTTACCCTGTCTGTGCGGCCCTCGGTACGGCTCGGGGCTCTGCTGCTGCTTTGTTGATGTGTTTTTTAACCCGCAAAACAGGTCGGGGGGGCGTTGCTCCGAATTCTTCCACTGCTGACTGGCTACCTCGGGAAAGGAGTTTCTTGAATTAAACTACGGGGAAATATAAATATATGTTTATTTCAATCTTCATTCGCCTCGATAGCTGAGAAATGTCTGTTATTTACACGTTGTGCAGGGAAGCCAGCTCGATATTTATTTAAAAAGGGTAACTCCAGCACTGCTGGTGATGTTCATTTGCAATTCCTACACACTGGCTATTATGTGCAGGGAACTAATCCTGCCTTGCCTTGAAAACAGAGCTTTCACTTAGCTCACTCCTCAGATTCCCTTTAAATGAGAGCCCTTGTTTTGCTGGGATTTTATTATTTTTAATAATTTTCCTAATGCGTGGTAGTGCTTTCTTTTTTCTTCTCTTTTTTTTTTTTTTTTTTTTTTTTTTTGAAACCTTTTTTTTTTTTTTTTTTTGTAAAGGTAGTTTAATTTTTATAGGCTTAATAAGAAACAGATTTTTTTCTTTTGGCTTTTTCTGTCATGAGCCTTTGGGGTCCTCTCGTGCCCTCGTCGCTGTTGTGAGACGGGAAAGTTGGGAGCACCTATGATTCCGTCCTCCTCCCTGTTACAGCTGTCGGCAGTGAACCCCAACCCATAGGCGCTGCATAATGGCCAACCCTCTCACACCCTGGATCAGTGTCCAGCCAGGGAGCACCGCCGAGGTTTAATTGCATCCATCTGCTGGCATTCACTGAAAGGGCGAGCGATACGGGCCATGCTACCCACCAGGGAATCCGTGCCTGGAAGAGCTGTGTCTCCTCGCAGGCAGGCACCAAGTCCGGCACAAATCAGGCAGGGCTGTCTCCGGCCGCTAAACTCAACGTCCTGAGATCCTGAACCCACTGACACGAAGAAAGAGCTTGCCTCTGCGACCCCCTGCAAGCCAAGACTGGCCCCTCCGAGGAAAGAAAACCCGGAGGTCAGTGTAACAGACCCCGGCCCACCCAGCCACATTTTCCCAGAGCACCAAGGGCGCCCGAAGGTAGGGAGTGACCCAGAAGTCCCGAACCGGGCCAGATCTCCTTTAGACCGGGCCTGAGGGGCCAGAGCGTCTGATGGCCGCTAGCAGGACGCGTTTAAAGCGTTTATTGGCATTACGGCAGTACAGTGCACGGTCAAAAACAATTCAAGAAGGTACAGGCTTGTCCACGGCAGCCCTTCCCGCCTAACCTGAGGAAGAAGCTCCAGTTCTGCACGAAATTACTCCAGGAATAAAACAATGTTTGCAATTTTAGTAGGATTTTAGTTTATGTATTAATGTCTCTCCGACTTCACAACTGCTTTTCCATCCTATCCCCTGCCCCGGGGCAGAACTTGTTCTCTACGATGAGTCGGAGATTATTAAGAGCCTGACTAAACCTCGTACACCTGCCTGGAAGACTTTGGGATAGATTATGTTATAAAGTACTGTCCCTCGGGTCGGCCAGGATCCACATTTCACAGCCGCATCTCGGAGCGCTCCGATGGCCCCTCTGCCTCCCGTCAGGGCTCTAGCCCATTTGACAAACGCAGCTTCTCCTTCTCCCGGGGAGACGATGAACTCACGCTAACATTACAGCCACTGATTTCTCCGATCTCCCATTCCTCACTGACCCCCTCTCGAGGATTCCCCTCCCCCACCTCACCTTCATCTCCCTCCCCTGCCACCCCCCCGCCCCCTCCCCACTTTTCTTTATGATTCTAGTGAACAAAAACCGGCATTTGATAACAGCACACTGTCCTGGGCTGCTTGTGCATCATGACTTCGCAGACCTCATTCATCACGGATCCTTCTCCCGGACAGTTCCCACTTTGGCTGTCAGGCTTTTCTCGTCACGTCACCTTCTTCCTCCACAGATACCTAATCAGGGAGAGAGCACATCCCAGGCACATCCAAGGCAGAAAAGTCCGCCCACCCCCACCTTCCCGTGCTCCCTGCGACCGCCCTTCAAGCCCCATGGCTTCGGTTTCCCAGGGCTCAAGAAATACAGGAATAGAGAAAAGGGCTCAGCTCTGCAGGACCTGGTGCTAACACGGTTTCTCCGGGTCCCAAACTAAGGGCACTGATTCAGTGACGAATTTCCCCAAGCATGACGCAACAGCACCAAAAAACTTTCTGACCGGATTGTTCACATCAATTCCTGCCAAAACACTTGTCTGGAGGTAGGTTAGGAAATGCTGAAGGTCTGGTTAGCAGAGAGTGCAAAAAGCAGACATCAAGGAGAGTTTTCCAAGAGCTTCTAATAAAGTCCCACTAAATCATTATTTTTCTCAGAAAAAAGGTAATGGTATGAGGGCACCTATTTAACCCTTTTATTTTTTTTTTTTTTTAAGGCATGAAAGAAGGTACAATCTTTAAGAGTTTTCTCTTGACTTACGTGATGACTCACCACACGGTTAGTAGCTTTTCAACTATCGGCTACCACAAGATGTGCATGAAAGCATTAAAAAAACCCAAAACAAACAAAAAAACCAAACCAAACAAAACCCAAAAAACCAACAACAACAAAAAGAAACACCAAAGCAAAACCAACTAAACAAAAAGGAACTGCGGGCCCAAACTCCCGTGAGTCATCATGTTTAATAACTAACTAGCTTCAACTCTGCATCTCTATGTGCGTTTGTATTTTCATTGTCAAAGAATAAGCGTGTATGTTCTTCACATGTTAGATTTGCAATTTCGTGTTCATTTCGACATTCCCTAACGACCCATCCCACAGAGGTGTCTAAAAGCACCTACAGATTATCTCTCATCTCTCTACTACTCTAATGTGACACACCTACTTACATTTTAGGGGTAAATAATTTGAGACAGATTTACAGTTCAACCCTCTCAGAAGACAGGAGGAGAGGTCTGCGTGGAATATAAATTCAAGAAAGTAATTCTTTCTCAAACAAATAATCTGTTCCCTTTCAAATATAATTAATGTTTTGATAGAGCATTTCTTGTGAGAGAGAGATACAAAAACAGAGGCAACCTCTTGGATCTCTGTTTGTATATTTTCAACAGGAATTTACAGTACCTATCTTGTGAATGTGACAGATAGAGTGTTTTGAACATTTAGAATTTTATTTATTAGCAGAACTACAGCAAGAAACTGGTAGGTCCTTACTATCCACCATGCCCATTTAATGTACGGCTTTGTTGCAGAGGAAATTGCAGTGGCAGGAGGAGGGCATTAGTCTTTCAGGGGGATGAGAAATGTTCCCTGGTTCTCAGGGTGCAGAATTCTGTGCTGTTGTGCTCCGGAGGCATATGTCCTTGTGCTTTGTCTTTCGTTCTCCTCTCTCTTTCCTCCGTGAGAATGAACCTATGTCCCTCTTCTTCTCACGTAAGGAGTTAAGGAAAACGGTAGGGACATTTTGGTTTTGAGTCTCCAGCGTTCACACTGGTCCGGGAAATGATGTGTTTCAAGTCATATAATCTGAACAAAGCCATGTTTGAAATTGCCCAGAACATTCATCAGATGCTTGTTAAATATGATTGTATGGTTCATTAGTTATAGATCTGCTACCTAATTCAGCGGGGCTGAATTGTCTTTTTTCCCCTTCTTCCTCTCTCTCCCTCTCTTTACTTCTTTCTCTCTTTGCTTTCTATCGCTGGTTTCAGAGGAAGGTATGCAAAGACGATTCTGCCACACTTGGGTACACGAAATTCACTGATATCTGTTCTCAATGCCTACATCGTTTCTAAAGCACAAAACAAAACTGACTTTGTGAGGGGAAAAAAAAAACAACCAACAACCAAAAAAATCAAAACAAAACAAAAAACCCACCCAAAAAAATCAAAACCAAAACAAAACCCAAACACCCAACCACAAACCAAACCCAAAAACTATCTTTTAACTCAAAATGCTATGAACGTTGGAAATGAGTTTAAGACCAATGCCATATGGACACTACTATCTAATTCATGAATGGCCAGATTCGACTTCCACAAGTATCAAAAGTAAATTCACATTCATGCCACTGCATTGGGTCCCCAATATGTCTATAGCCTAATAATACAGCTTATCATATCGTTCATTTTTCAATGTCATATTATTTGTGAAAAAATCGAGTATTAATTGAAAGAGCAGAGAAACTTTAAAAAGCGTTGGTTTCCAGCTGGGGTTGCCTTGCCTCATCTCACTTTGCTCAAGCCGGTACTTTCAAAGAAAGGGAGGACACATCTGAAAATGACTCTTCATAGAAAGTGCCAGACCTGCAGTCGGTCTGAAAGTCTTTATCAACAATAAACATTAGGAATATGCGTCATTACTAACCTTGAAAAAATAATCACTGGGCTTAGAAGAGTGGTATTTGCTTTTACAAAATAGTGCAAGGAAGGCCCTCTAGTTGTACAGGAAACACACATGGCTATTCCAATGCCAGGCTTAAAAATCATTTTAAAAAATAAATAAATAAAAAAAAGAAAGAAGAATCAAAAAACACATCAATTAAAAAAAATTATAACCTCTAGATAGATTATTACAGACCCATAGAGTATTATCTCCCTACATATGGGCAGTATAACTTGGATTTTAAGTAAACAATGTTGTAATGCCCTTTTAATTTTATCGTATATATTGTCTGGATTTACATTTTCTAGAAAGTCCTAAAATGTCTTGTAAACACCTGAACGCTGTGACAGAGATAACCTTAGTTCAATACAAAGTTACCAACCTCAGTCATTGAGATCCAATTAATTCGATGTTTGCCTCCAGTGATCTGTGAAAAAAAAAAAAAAAAAAAAAAAAAAAAAAAAAAAAAAAAAAAAAAAAAAAAAAAAAACATACGGAGAGGGAGGCGACGGACACACAAAAAAGGAAAATATTTACTGCATTGATCTGATAATATATAGGAAAATGTCAAATACACACTTTTTAACTATCGTCTTTAAAAATAACAAAAAGTTATAAAAATAGCTTCGGTACCTCTAATATGCAACTGGTCTTTTTTCGCCAAAGGCTAACATTAGGGACTATCGCACTTACGTTCAGAAAATATTGTTATTTTTCTTAATGGGGAAAATTGGACTCCCGCGACTTAGATCTGTGGTTTTTAGAACTGGGATGGAAATTGGACTGACACCACTTTGCACTTTAACAATCGGATTTCGTCAGGGTACAAGTTGTTTGTTTAACCCGACAGCTCCGTGCACCCCGTCGCACGCTTTTACACACTCATTAAAACGATTATTCACGACCTGTCGAGTGTTTTCTCGTTCATTCACAGGAAAGACTTAGCGCTCTAAGATTCAAGAGCATACGGTCAGCTATACCACTGGCCGAGGGGAGAGATTACTTATCTCTGTGATCATCTGATGCGAGGCTGTCTTATCGCTACAGGTTGTAAAGCAGCAGTTCCTGGAGGTAAAAGAAAGAGGAAAAATCCTCCCCCCCCCCCGCCCCGCGCCAGCGAAACTTGCCGAAAGCAAAAGACGAGGAACACAAGAGAAGAAGGGCTCAACACTCGCTCAGCGCCGCGCGGGTCCCGCTCCCGTTGCCCAGCCCGCGGCTCGGGCTCCCGCCGCGCCGCTCCCCGGGCAAGCGGCGGCCGGGGCGGCGGGGGCTGCGCCCCGCGGGGCAGCGCGGGGCTGCGGAGGCGGCCTTCCCCCCTGCACCTGGCTCTCACACCGGCCCCCGCCTGCCGGGCCTGGTCCCGAGCTCGCTGCCCGCCGCCGAGGTGCCCGTGTCGGTACAGCCGGAGCGGCGTGGGGACGGTATTGATAAAGCAGAGCCCTACCCTGAACGGCTGCGAAAGAAAATGCGGGTGTCGGCTGGAAAAGCGTGTTTAAAAAATAGATCAAAATGTCAGCCTTCTGGGGTCCTGAGAGAGAATGGCTGGAAAATAGACCGTTTAGCAGAGAGGCTGGGGCGATTCCTTTTGGACCGATTAAATCATTAAGCCAAAAAAGCAACACAAAATACCGCCTGCTTTGAGCGCTCTGATATTTGGATTCCGACCCCTCTGTTTTGTTTGGTTTGGTTTGGTAGGCTTTTTTCTTTTAATATATCGATTTCTGATTTCGATATTCAGATTACCTTCCATCTATGAGGAAACCCCAGGGGCCACTCTGTTGCTGGAAAGGTGTTTTACACTTACAAAGGAACCTAAGGGCCTGGAAGGCGAAGCACACATCAACCCCTGTTCAGCCTCTGCGGATCCAGAAACTCATTTTTCATTTGGAAAATATCTAAACAGAATGCCCCTTTATTTAAATGAACCGACCCCGAATGCAACAAGGGATTTTAATCTGAAACGGTTTCCTAATTGCTCGAAAGGCAAGCACGTATAAGTAATTTGTTAAACTTATTGGATTGCAATAATCCACTATCAGGTTAGCTAAGAATGGATCTGTCAAGTGTGTTTTCCAGTCTAAGCTCTTTCTTTCAAACCAATCTGGTATAATAATTAGCAGACAAAGAGCCCGAAATATGTAAGCAAATATCTAAAGATCTGCATAAATAAACATACTAATCAATAGCAAGCTACTCAACACTTGTCTTATTGATGAAGAGACAATCGATTTTGCTGTTCCAACCCGCAATCAGAGATCTGTATTTAATTATTAGTACTTTTACCTCCACTGATTTAGTAATAAAAATAGAGGTAATAAGTCCTACCCTTCCATCTAAATACAAATGATAGTGATGACATAACTAAAGGCAAGTTACGCTTCCCAGCAAAACAAACAACTTTGCTCAAACAGAATAAACAAGCAAGCAAGAAAAGAGCTGCCTTTTCTGATGAATGCTAGCTGACACCTTCACAGTCAGAAAAGATCGGGCAAATATATACATGCATATACGCACACGTGTATACACGTGTATATGTATAGCTATAGAAAGATAAATATAGAGGGAAAAGTTCATTGATTAAACAACAACGCCATTTTTATTTGCAGAATTCTCATCTGTTTTCTTATAAACCCATAAGAGTATGTGTATACTATATGCTAATAAAAATACACCTTGCAATTTGTACCACCGTGGTACAAAATCTAGACTGCATTTAAAGCCCTCTAGGCCCACTCGCCATCAGAAGTCAGTTCAGAAATCTAAAAGGAGATTTACTTATCACCAGCGTGTTATGAAGTAACCTGTGAGCCACAGCATTAAATATATAAATGATTATGTGATATGCTCAACCATAGACCTCTCTAATTATCTGTCCTAGCTCTGTTTTGTTCGGAGTCTAGTGAAACTAGTGAAAACTCTAATCGGTGCCATTCATCCCCATTAGAAAATATATTGGTGTGTCGATGAAATTGTGTTTGGGCATGCAAGCACCACAGAAAGATATGAAACGCAACTTATAGTATAACATCGCCAAGATTTTTTACTCAAAAGAATAGTTTGGTAACGAGTGAATGTTACCCTTCCTTAATTTATTAAAGGATTGCATCCTTTTGGGACATACCACACTTCACAATGAGCAATGAGATTCTGCTTTTTGTTTTTGTTTTTTTTTTTTNTCAGTTTTCTTCTCTGTCCACCTCGTTTCTTTGACACCATGCGGTTTGGGGTTCTCTCTCTCTCTCTCTTTTTTTTTTTTTTTTTTTTTTTTTTTTTTTTTTTTTTTTTTTTTTTTTTTTTTTTTTTTTATTTTTTTTTTTTTTAAATTTTTTTTGTCTGTGTTGTTGTGGTTTGCTTAGTAGCTTAGGCAAAGGCATACACACTCTTGACATTTTTTTTTCTTTTTTCTCCCCAGGTTGTGTTCTGAGGCTGAGAAAAGGTTAATCTTTTTTACTCTATAGCCAGGCTTAGGCCAGATTTTTTGGCAGGTATGTGTCTCCTCTTGGATATAACTAACTTAGTAGTCTAGCTAATATTAAATACTTGAGATGAGGAAATTTCTGAGTAAAAGCAGGCAAGGTGGGGGCGTGGGGTCGAGAGGCGACGGACGGAGAGTGGCTCTCCTCCTTCCACTAGTGAACAGTGCAGGGCAGACACTTAGCCTGGAGGGCCTCCAAGTCAATGGGGATCTCGGCGAGGTCTCCCCCGCGGGCCGGCCGCTGCAAACCCGGCTCCTCCGCCACCGTCAAGGGAGAGCCGCCGCGAGCGCCCCGAAGGGAAAGAGCTCTTTTCACCTATTTCTGCTTTCCCGTAAAAGGTGCTCCTGCGAAACCAATTGTAAAGAGCTCTGAATTCCCCACCGCGGGGAAAAAAAAAAAATCAACCCAAGAGAGCCCAGGATTCCTGCCGCCTTTGTAGTTCGAAATTCAGGCTCCCTGGTCAGGCGGCTCCGGGCGAGGAGAGGTTTCACCTCTCGGGCTTAGGTTAAGCAGTTCTTTGCAGCTAGCTTTACAGGGATGCTTTACTCACCTTAGGGTAGGGTGACAATGGCAGGCTTTTCTCAGACCCCCTTTCGTTTAGTCTTTCCTCTCAAATCACGGATAACCCCAAATACACTTGGAGGACTCCCTAGAGATAATTCTTTGAAATGGACTTTGCATTCATTTCCCCGACTGAGAGCAGCAAATCCGCTCGCTTTGAGTCTAATTCGCTAGCCTGATACTGTATTCTGTTACATGGTATTGAAGTGGGGGAGGAGGGGAGGTTGCTGGTAGTTGCTTTGGTTATTTGTTTATTTTGGCAGCTTAATTAATTTTTTTAATTTTTGTTTTTCAAGTTTTCCCTGGTTTGTTTTGCTCCAGTGAAGCGAGAGGTGGGTTTAACAATCCAATTCCTCGATCGAAGCATCCCGGACTAGTTCTTGGGAAGAAGTCTTTAAACGCCTTTCCCTAGGGCAACATCTGTCTCTTGGTAGCTAGAGAACGCAACGCCAAGTCCGCGTGGAGAAGGACACCTCAGATCTTTCCTCCTTTCCGAGGGGAGGGAGGCGGCACGGACTCAGGCCCCGCGAGTACACACACCGCCTGCAAGCCGCCGTTTGAGCGCCGGGCGGGGTCGCCGGGCCGCGGGAGAGGCCCCGAGCGGACGCCGCGGTTCGCGGGGCGCAGCGCGGCCGGTGCCGCGGCCCGGCGGGGCGGCTCTCCCGCGGGCCAAGAGCGCCCCCAGCCCGCCGGAGGCGCAGCGCCGCCGCCGCGCCGGGCCCCGCCGCGCCCCGCGGACACGCGTGTGCGGGCACGGCGGCTCGATCGCACCGGGAAGGCGCGGGGGCTGGCGGCGCCGGTCCCTGCCGTCCCGGGGATACGCGAGTGCGGATGCCGCCCTTCGCAGCGCAGGGCGTGGGCGGCTCCACCGGTGCCCCGCGGCACCCACGGGGCCATCCCCGGACGGGCTTGCACCGCGCACACAACACGCCGGCGGAGATGTCACAAGTCACCGCTGGCGTGTGCTGTGCGTGTGCGAGCGCTCGTCTCCCTGCACCTGCGTCGGTTTCTGCGATGCGAAAGACAGGCGCTCGGTACCGCTGCCCCTGCGCTGAGGCGTCCCAAGCACAGCGTCGCGGGAAACTCAACTTGCTGTATATTAAAAAATTAATTATTTTTGTAAGGTCAAAAATGGCAGGAGCAAAGGGGTCAAAGTCATCTGCAGGGTGGGACACCGGCCGTGGCTCTTCCCCTCCACCACATCAGGACAGCAAAAGAAGAACAAGTCGGTCCACGGAGGGCCCCATCCCGGGTCCTGCCCACGCAGCAGCGCGCCTGCCCCCACCCGCAAGGATGAGCGCAACGAGCACATCACTTTTATCAGTCGTTTAAACTTCTGCCCCTATTCCGAGATTTCAGCAAGTAAATCTCAACGTATACAAAACTCAGTCATGGAATTTGGAGAATGGGAAGACAAAGGGAGAGTGCCTGCAGCTCTCTCATGGACGTGAACGTTGCCCGTGATCCCTTTTAAGGGCGCATTTTCTCCACTGGAGCACTCAAAGCAAAACCCAGCTCAGTACGGCCGTTTGCAAGGTCTCTTTCCTAGATCTCCCAAAATTTTTGGCATTTAGTCTCTTTCCTGGAAATTTAGAGATATTAGCACACTTTACACAACCCCAAAAGGTGCGATAAGCCTGTAGCTTTTCTCAAATGACAAGCTCAGAATTTTTAGAAATAATTAATTACAAAGTCCGCCTATACTCGTCATGCTAAAATCGTCTTTCATATAGCAGAGATGGATAAAGGACCAAATTTCCTCCGACATGAGTGGTGGAGGGGACTTTTGCCTAGCCTCCGTAATATTTCTGTGCTGTGACCAAAAAGGCAGAGCATGCTCAGGGATCTGCGGGAATGGCGCTCTCTCCCATTCTGGAACCAAAGGACAAAAATCGCGCGTGAAGTTACTTGATTCCTGGGTGTAAAAGATGAGTAAAATCCGCACTCACCCGGTGCCGTCGGAAGACTCCTATCCCCAGGTGCCATCGTGCGCCTTTCTTGCAGGTAGAGGCAGTTTCTCCTGGCATCTTAAAAAAGGCAAACACAACATTGCACCCGTGTGACTTTCTTTGACATTGGTGGCAAACAAGCAAACAAAGAGCACGTTAACAAAACAAGCTAAAATATCTACAGATTAACCACAAGAACTGCTAAATCGGCGAAGAAACTTCCAACTTACCGATTGAAACGAAAGAGCCCGAGGGGGAGGGGGAAGGCCGGGGGAGGAAACACTTTGAGGAAGAGACCGAAAAGAAAAAAAAAGAAGAGAGAGAGCGAAAATCCTGACATTAGGCACACGCAGTTTTTGGTGTAACCGGTGCTTTGAAACTGTGCTTCGGTTGCACGGGCGACCTGCTTATCGGGGGCCACGGGGAAACTGTACGTTTAGACAGAAGTCTGTCATCTCTATTCATTCGTATCACATGGATCTGCCTGTGGGGATAAGAGGTAGGGAAGATTTTCTTGAAGTGCACCTACCCTTCTGGCGGGAAGGATTTCTGGGCAGGTTTCTTCTGGAGGGTCCCATCTCTCTGGAGTAGCTGAAGTGGAGTTGAGGGCAGGTTCTCCGGTGAGGTAGGAATGTGCAGGAACTCCGCCCTCTGGGCACAGTCACACAAACCCAGCACAACAGATACAGCCAGCCCTAAAACCTCTATTGATCTTCACCTTCACCTCTTCCTAACCCATTTGCCCACCAGTTTCTGACCCATTTACCCGGGCACCTTCACCACGGGGCGGAAAGGGGTTGGGGGTTTGGGGGGGGGGGGGGGGGGGTATTAAAAACAAGAACACTTCAGTGCACAGAAAAGCAGAGAAGCTACTACAGACACTAATGCAATGGATATACACCTCTGCAGTCTGTGTGTGTCTATATGTGTGTATACATATTTATTGCCAATCGCTGATTTTGTAGTAGCGTAAGATGTATGCGCATATACTTTCTCGGGCTGGTGTATTATTCGCGATCACACAATTAAGAGCAATAGCGGTGATTATCTACAGGCAGACTTTTTTGCTTGTTTGTTTGTTTATCTATCTCCCATCCTAAGGGAAAATATAACAATTAAAGAATAAAGTCGCTAATAAAAGAAGTCTTGCTCAGTGTTCTTTCTTAAGCAAAACTCTGATGTAGCTCAGTCAAAACGTAACCGGAGTTCAGTGGGAGTTTTGCTTGAGTGAATACTGAATACATGGTGATTGAGACCTCATATTAACACAAGTGGTGAGGGGGTGTGTACCTGAATCATAATTTCTGACATAAATCTTAATAATCATCAGAAGAAGTTATAAAGAGCAAAATGACGTCCCGGTTAAACTATTTTTTTCAAGTATCAGATTTTTAAAAATGTCACTCCCCCAAGCAGAAGTTTTGTGCTATTTAAGCCAAATTACATTTTTGTTCACTTTCTTTTAAACCCTTTCTTAAGGATACATTCCACATAAGGGATGATATTTTACTGTAACAAAAGGAAGATATCTAAAACATGACAAAAATTTGTTGGCCAAATATCGCGTTGAAAATTCGAGTTACTGTTTATTATGCTTCAAACATGTTTGCAAAGGCAGTCTTAAAGTCATAATTGGATGTTTCTTGATGAGCAGATTTCTTCTCCTACGATCTACGCGAGCAAAGTTAATCACCTCAAACATCAACTAAGAATATAACAATAGCTCCTTAATTCCATAAAGACCGCCCGTCCCCCATAAACACTCTAAATTAGGAAATGCTAAAGAAACGATGCTAAGACACTGCATCATCCTAGAAATGTACATGTTTTAAAAAATCCTAAAAGCTTAGCTTGAGGATTTGACACATAAATCATTGCGGAAAAAAGTATCAGATAACAGAAATGCTGTATGCTAAACCACCCCCCTAAAAATAACCCAATCAAACCACAAAAAACCCATCACCACCAAACACACACCCCCCCCCCCCCACCCCCACCCCCCACCCCCCAACAATAAAGCAACAACAAAAAGAAAAACAAACAAGCCACTACCTCAAATTCAGTGCCGAACGAGCCTGGGCAACGAACAGCCTCAGCGAACAAAAGGGTTTCTCTGTCTGAGGAGCAGGCAGAGGTAAAGAAATATCTGGGGCCTTAGAAGTCCTGACACAATCCAGGACAAGTTTAGCGATTTCCTGGTGTTATTTTATTTTTGTTTTGGATTGTACTTATTTTTCTTCCTTTACAAAAATAGTCTGATTCCTGGTAACGTGCATGGAAACATGAATAAATTACCATCTCAGCAATCACCCCTGCGCCCGGTGTAAGAGAAAGAGTGAAAAGTCTGTGGCACCTGAACTCCTTAGGCAATACTTTGCAACACCGAGCCTAAAGGAGAGCTCTGGGAGCGAGTGCTGGCTTAAACTAAGTCTAGAGAGACATACATCAAGGCTACCCTTTCCAGGAATTATTGTGCATCATGCTTATCTAATTAATGCTTATTAGCCAACCTCAAACTCTGACATGGTGAGATTGTGCTTTCCTCCAGCCTGATCTGTCTCTTTCCTCCCTTCAGTACACTGACAGCAGATTTATTTTTTACATTGCAAACAAAATAATATTTTACGTATGTGCCATTGGATTTCCTACAGCATACAATCAGATGCAAGTGGTAAATAATAAATCATTTTCTTTGTCAGCTGCAGCAGATGCTGCTCTTTTAAGTTGTTTAGGCATTAGTACACAGAATGAGGACTCTAGGCTTCAAGTATTTAAATCACACCTATTGTATTTTATTATTTCCTATAGTTTTGTTGAAAAAGAGTTTTTGATTTTTTTTTTTTTTTTTTTTTGCATCACTTGTTTTAATGACAATAGAGTCAAGAAAATGGGGGAGGGTAGGAGCTTCCAAGTGGTGGTATCATCTCTCCATCCCCAAACAAAGCAATCGTTTTCTCATAGTGATGATTAATTTTGAATTGCAGGAGTGAGAGTGAAAGCTAAGAATATCAGAGAGTTCTCTCCTTCTCCCCCACACAGTGCAAAGCAGGGTGTCCCATCTCTCATCCATAACCTTTCACTTCTCTCTCTTTCCTGTAGATCTGTTTGCATCTGTTTATATATTACTTATTTTCGGGAGATACCCTCTTCCTCCCCTTATTCTTTCAGCACGACAAATACACGTTTGCGAGAATTCAGATTTTCTACTGCTTCATTATTCACCCCCTGGCATTTTTTTTCCTTTTTCTTCCTCTTTTCTGTCTTTCCAAGATAAGCTCTTTAAAGCATTTGCGATAACATCTCCGACCTAGAGATTATTTTTCATTCGGCCTATTGTGAGCAGTCGCCGTTTTATTGCACTGCTGCAGAGCTCAGTTTGGGCTACAAACGTAACAAATGAACAACTTGTCCTCTGCGGACTCACCGCGGGATCCAATTAGTTCCTAAACCTTTTGCACAAGTTTTCTAATTATTTTCAAGAGTTGTGGCCTTTACAGGCTTCCCTAAACTCATCAAGACACCAATTCTTTCGAGGATTAAATGCGTCTTAAAATTACTAGCAGCGTTGCCCCCTCGAAACTAAGAGATTGATTCTCCGGGCAACGCAGCTTTCTTAGGGACGCCCGCGTGAATTACTGGGCTTCAGCGGGCACTGAGAGAAAAAGAGACGAGTTTTCAAAACTTTACATGTAAGTGCATCCACACAGGTTTGATTTGTTGATTTATTTTTGTTTGTTTGTTTGGTTGGTTGGTGGTTTTTACCCCCTAAAACGTTTAAACATCGGTATGCAAGGCGGGGTGTCACGTGAGGCCCCGGCGCCCTGCCTCCCTGCCGTGGACTGCGCCTTCACCTCGCCCTGCTCGGCTCCTGCCCCCCCGCCCGGCCGGAGGGGCACAGCGGAGAGCCGGCTGCCAAAAAATACCGCTACTTGCACCATTCCTAAAGCCAAAGTGTCCGCAGCACGGAAAGTACATAAATACATACAGCCTAGACACTTCCGGAAGAGCCCTCCTTTAAGACAAGGGTTATATTTTATACACACACATATCATAGCTGGTTAAATTTGGTCGAACGATCATATTATAGCTGATATGTGTGTGTGTATACGCACACATACACATCCTTTGCTAATATATCTCGAATCATCAGAGACGAAATTAATTTATTTCAGTACAGTAAGTCTTTGAATGCATTTCAGAGATTGCAGGAAGAACACGTACGTATAGAATAATGCACCTTGGCCTTTTTCCCAACGTGTGCTTATATACTTAAATTGTATACGTATGCATGTATATTTGCATACATATGCAATGCTAAGCATTTTCAGCCTAAGTCAGATTTTAGTAAAACACCCTGCCTCCTACTAACAATTTTAAAGCAGATTTTATAAGAGTTCTGCCCCAAAATGGACATCAAAATAGTGGCCGTAGTGATTGACTAAATACCTTGATCCTTTACATTTGAAAATACTGCAGTTAAAGACAGCATGGGAGGGGGCGGGGGGAGAAAGAAAGGAGCATGTGAAAAATGGTGGACTGTGCAATAAGCAGCACTCTGATCTCACTGTAACTTTAAAGCCTCTGCCACATTAAGGTTAATAAAAGAGACAAAAAAACTATCAAGTATATATGAATTTAGCCTATTTTTTTATTTCTGTGTGTTCATAGTAAACATTTTTGTAAGTGACAAACACGGGCATATGACCACAGTATCACAATCAAGAAATTTTAAGACGACATTAACAATCACTCAAATTTATGCGGCTTTTGCGCAACACAGGTTACATATTTGCAAGGTTTACCTATAAGTACAATAGGTATTAACATTTCACTACATTTAGAAAAAAAATAAAGGTGACCTGTTAGTGACCACATACATCAAAATATACACAACACAAACTGAAGGCAATCATTAATTTTGTCCCCTTCTGATTCATTTGAACGGGCAGTGCTGAAAACTGAAATAATGTTGCTGTTTTTTAAATTACTTCGTACACTGAGTGCATTTTCTAAAACCCAATCTTTGGTCTAAAAGTAAACAAACAAAAAAAAGAAAAAAAAAAAAAAAAAAAAAAAAAAAAAAAAAAAAAAAAAAAAAAAAAAAAAAAAAAAAAAGCAATTCGGTAAAGAAAAAAATAAAATAATAAATGGCCAAAACTAGATCTTGGGCATTTTTCAGTATTAATTCTGCTTAAATACAAATTATGTTTTAAGGTTTCTTTAATAGTTTTCATAAATTTAGTAGTTTGATTTGGTTTTTTTTTTTCCTTTCACGGTCTGCACCCACCGACATATCCATGATAACTTATAATACTGCAAACATGGAGAATCGGGTGGCTTTTAGTGATAGACTTATCATATTTGAGTAAAAAAATTGCAAAAGCAGTCACTATTTAGATACACATTCTACTATAATTTTGTCTTCCAAACTTCATAGTCTACAATGCAATCTCCCCACATTGCACCTTGCTGACACTCCTCACCTTGGTGGAATAATAAACAACCCTAAAGACTGAACAAACGTACAGAAAATGGGGGACTTAATAAAAAATACCTGGACTTTTTTGTTTTGCTTTTTTTTTCCTTTTAATTATCATTTACAATGCAAATGTGTGTAAAATGTTCACTTACAGTCTGATCCCATGGATGTTAATGTATTAAAGGGTTTGAAGAAGACCCCTGATTTTGATGTGTGAAATAATCAGAAAGTCCTCCGGAAAGTCCCGTTGTAAAACTTGGCAAAGAAGGTCTTAAGGACTCACAGGGGAGAGTGGAGGGCGCCTGTGGCGACGTGGAGGAGGAGGCTGCCCTGGCCGTCATTGAAGTGCTGCTTTGAGAAGTCATTGAAGGGTGAGGAACATGGGGGAAAAAGTAACTCGTCTGTCCTGCTAGGAGATTTACAGAGCAGGGATTTAGGGAATAGGTGCCGGAGCAGGGAACTGACAAGCCACACGGCACTGAGGCGGCCAGAGCTGCTGCTGTGAGGTGATGAGTGGCATAAGGTATCTCTCCATTGACTAGTCTATCAACACTTAACCCATTAGACGTGGAAAAGGAGTGGTTGTTTCCCAAGGAGTTTTGAGTCAACACTGAGCTGTAGGGCATGGGGTGGCTGGGGTAGGCGGACGTGGTCCCATTGTAACTCAAAGTGCTGCTGGCCCGGGGGTGGTGCAGGGAGAGGAAGGGGGACATAGGCCAGTACAAGGATCCTGCCCTATCCATGAATGTCAGTCCGGTAGAGGTGAGCCGGGCGCCCCGCTTAAAGGCCAGCTTGGCCCGAGAGGTGGTGGAGCGCCGGCGGAGCTTGCCGGTGGTGCCCCCGATGAAGACGTCGTCGCTGGAGGGGTCCAGCATCCAGTAGTTCCCTTTGCCCGGGTCGTCGTAGTGGCGGGGCACCTTGACGAAGCACTTATTGAGCGAGAGGTTGTGCCGAATGGAGTTCTGCCAGCCCTGCTTGTTCTCCCGGTAGTATGGGAAGTTCTTCATGATGAACTCGTAGATGCCATTGAGAGTGAGGCGCTTCTCGGGGCTCTGCCGGATGGCCATCATGATGAGCGCGTTGTAGCTGAACGGCGGCTTCTCGTACTTGCCGTTCTTTTTCTCCCCCTCCTTCCCGCTCTCCCCGTCCTTGGCCCCCTCCGCCGCCCCCTTCTTCTCCTCGGCCGCTTTCTCCTTCTCCTCCAGCTCCGCTGCCGCCGCCGCCGCCGCGCCCGCTTCGCCTTTGCCCGCCAGCATGTCCGCCTTGGCCACCTCCAGGGCGCCGGAGGCGGTGGCGGTGGGGGGCGGCAGGAGGTGCTGCCCCTTCTCCTCGTCCTCCTCCTCGGCTGCGGCCGCTCGCTGGGGCTGCTGCGGCGGCGGGTGGTGGTGGTGGTGGTGGTGATGGTGGTGGTGATGGGGGTGGTGGCTGTTGTGGTGGCTGTGGCTGCTGTGGTTGTTGTCGCTCTGGACGGCTTCGGGCACCAGGCTGTTTATGCTAAAGGAGGATTTCGGCAGCATTTTCACTTCCTTCCTATCTCCCATGTCCAACATCACACACTAGTCTGAGGGGGAAAGTTGCGGCGGCTGAGGGAGCTGCGCGCGGGGCGGCGGCGGAGGCGGCGGCCGAAGCGGTGGCGGTGGCCGAGGCGGCGGCGGCACCACCGGCGGCGGTGGCGGCGGCGGCGGCAGCGCAGTTGGACCGCAGTCTCAAGCGCTGGCAAGTCATGTAGCACGGACAGGAACCGCCGGGGAGGGAAAAAATAATGGTAATAATAATCACCGATCAGAGAAAAATCAAACCGAGCCGGAGCGGAGGAAAAAAAATAAAAAAAAGGTAGAAAAGGAAAAAAACCTTCTGAAACCTAAAAAAAAAAAAAAGCTACTTCATGGTGCCCGGTTCCCCCGGCACGGCAGCGCAGGGGGAGGCAGGAGGGAGCAGCAGCCGCCGCGGGCCGGCGCGGAGCGAGGCAGACGGGCGATACAGCCCGCCCCGGCCGCAATTAATTTCAGAGCTGCCGGCACGCACCGGGGCTGTAAAACATTTTTTGGTTTAACCTTTCCCACCGGCCGCCCAATCAGGGCCGGCGGCGTGCCCGCGCGTCTGCCCGCCCGCCGGCCAATGGCGGCGCGCCGCCCCGCCCCGCCCCGCCCCGCGCGCCCCGCCCCCGCCGCCGCCGCGGCTCCCGCGGCGCAGGGATACCGGCGCAGGGGCGCATCACCGCGCGGAGCGCGCGCCCCCCGCCCCGTGCCCCCCCGGCCGCCGCCGCCAGCACAAATCCCCCCGCGCCCAACAACCCGCGCCCGTCCCGCCGCGGCGGGCCCGGCCCGGCCCGGCCGCTCCCCCGGTTCCGCCGGCGGACTCGAGTTGCCACGAGCCGCTTTGCCCCTTCCTCTGGCGACGAAGGAGGCGGGGTGGGAGGCCGGGTGGGTGAAGCGGTCGTGGCACATCGGTGGCGGCGGAGGTACTACTTCGCGGATCCCGCCGAAGTCGCTCGGCGAATTTATTTTCCCAGGCCCGGCTATTTCTGTTTGTTATTTTGCCGAGGCAGAAAACAAAACAATCGTCCGGAGGGGACGCGGGCGGCGGGACCCGCCCGGGCTGCGGCAGCGGCCGGGGCCCGGACGCCGCTGCCCGCGGCCTGCCTGGGGAAGACCGGGCCGCCCGGGCCGTGCCCGCCGCTCTCCGGACTGTGAGTTGGGCGGCTCGGGAGCGAGCGGCCCGTCTCCTGCCCTGCTCTCGCCCCGTGTCACCGAGGCCGGAGCCGGGCTTCGCGCTTCCCGCCCCTCAGCCCCGCGCCGCTGCCGCTCGGGCGGCGCTTCCCCCGCGCGGCGCCGGGCTGCGGCCGCCTCCTGCTCGGCGCTGCCGGGCTGACCGAGCCAGCGCACAGGCCGCGCACGGGCGTACAAAATAAATGTTGGTGTTGGTAGCCCATGAAATCGACACTGCGGTTTCCTGCCGGCCCGGCCCGTGGGCCTGGCCACGGGGTCTGAGTTCCGCGGGGTTTAGTTTTGCTGGGATAAGGGATAGGGCGGGCGGCAGCAGGCCGGGTTCTCCTGGGGAGGGAAAGGGTCTGGCACCGCCGCTTTCCACAAGTAGACGCGGTGATACAGGCTCGGGTTTACGGCTGCGCTTTGCCAGGACCAAAGGGTTGGGTATTAATCGTCCACACCATATCGGTTTATACTGTCAACACGGGAACAAAAAAAAAAAAAAAAAA